CCACGTTCATGAGAAGATTTTCGATTTCTAGCAGAAGGATGCTTTTTGCCAATGTTACCAGGCAATTCTGCATCATACTGGTGATTGATAGTGCTTGGAGAGGATACTAAAGCTTCCCTTGATCCTCCACGTTCATGAGAAGACGCCCGATTTCTAGAAAATTGATAATTTTGGCCAAATTTGGTAGGATAATTTGTATCATACTGGTGATCGATAATGCTTGGAGAGGATACTGAAGCTTTATTTGATACTCCACGTTCATGAGAACACTCTTGATTTCTAGCAAATTGATTCTTTTTGATAAAGTTAGCAGGCAATTCTGTATCATACTGGTGATTGGTAGTGCTTGGAGAGGATACTGAATCTTCCTTTGATCCTCCACATTCATGAGGATCCGCTAATGCACGTTTTTTATCAAAGTTGGCAGACAAATCTGTATCATGCTGGTGATTGGTAGTTCTTGGAGAGGATACTGATCCTTCCTTTGAACCTCCACGTTCGTGAGAAGATGCCCGGTTTATAGGTAATTGATGCTTTTTGCCAAAGTTGTCAGGCAAATCTGTATCATACTGGTTATTTGTAGAAGGTTGCAAAGAGCCGAAATTTCGAACGTTCTTCGAGCTCCATTGACTAGGATTTGAACTAGAACTAGAACTACCCAATTCTATCCTTATCCTCCTTTTCCCTGCTGGCCGGCATTTAATACCGTCAGAAAGTGAAGGAAAATCATCCTCATCCCACAAATGTGTGTGCCTCTGTTCATGGCCTGTCAACTGCAAAATTTCGACACCTGGTCGGTGTTAAGATTCTAGCTGATATCTAACATGCAACTCAAAGAAAAATGAAAGAGATCTATCAACTCTCTGTGCAGAATTCTAAATTATCTCAAACTACGATTGAGCTAAAAATTCCATCACCTAGAACATCAATTTATTCATCATATGAATAATACCAAACCAATTCTTCCACGGTTCCACCGCAACAATTATCAAAACACGCAACAGGATAAGTTATTCAATCTGAAGGCAATCAACTGTTAAACCAACATATTGCTGCACACACACCAAATGTTCGATAAAATGCTTATGTAAAACTATGCAACTGTAAAATCTTACGCCATTTCTTGAATTCGCGCGATTTCCATCACCAGCTCTCGATCCCATACTTCTGCTCGCAATTCTTCGAAAACGAGGGGAGTTGATTAACGCCGACAAAAAGCGAGGTGCAGCCAGAGTTGTACCGTACAACCCCAATCGCATGAGCTCAGTTGTGCTGTTGTCGTTCAAAATGCTTATTCTCTTTTAAAGCTGTTACTGAGAAGTGAGAACGCGAACAGAGGCTCAGATAAAGTCGTTTGATTTGCCGCGAAGATGAACAGACTCTATTCGCGTGGGCTTTGTCTGTTGGGGATCGGCCCAATAACCTCAAATTGAATGCAAGGCCCAAACTGAAACAGGCCTGTCATGCAAGCGACCTGGATATCTCTTAGTATCAGTTATCATTTTCATGTGGAAGGCTGGCCCACTATTGGCGGATGGCAACCGTCATTAATACGTGAGATTAACATCACAACGGCCCACGTGGCGCCCATTTAATTATCCTTTACCTACCAACCTAAAAATAAAGAAAAAATCATCATAATGCACACTCATTTGTGTTTTCAATTTTTGGTGCCCAGCAGAGAAATTTTGGGTCCCACAGTGTCACCCATAACCACAACCTTAGAGCTGCAGTTAATCACATCATTAGTTCCTTAATTTGATTATATTAGCTATTTTTTTTTGCTCAATATAGAAAATAAGACCCAATTGGTTGAAAATAATTTTTTGCATTAGGATCACTTTTTGTACAAAATTAGCTGATTTAAGAAACTTTCCTTAAATTGAGAGTAATTTGTCTACCTAATTTCTACAACTAAGAGAAGATCATACACAATAGCAATTGGGATATTAGAAAATTTATATTTACACATAAAAAGTTGGATCTAAAGTTTAACATAAGCTATAGTTGTAGATGTTGATATTAAAAATGGTATAACGTATAAAATAATGAGTTCGTATGTTGTGTAATTAAAGTCAATCTGCTTTCTTAGATTGACTCATCGACTGAATTATCGAATCATACGCTTGCAAAGTCTGAATTGTTGATTTTGATAATATAGAAATAAAAGGAGTAGTGTATGCTTGTTAGTTGGTAGGTGTATTTTTGATAACTCAATTAGTAAATGACTTGTATAATTACTTGCAAATTATGAAGCACATATATGAAAGAAATAAATAAAAGAGATGAAAAATTTAAAAGCTTTTAACAAGTAGGTTGTTGCTAGTGGCTAATAATGCCCATGCCAAAACCTCTTTTTCCTCATAGAAGAATCCCAAAAAACAATAGCCAATATTGTCTCATCAACATCAGAAAAAAACAAAAGATCATAACTATAAAAAGAGGAAAATAAATATTTTGTTACACTTGACATGAAAATCCATGTGATCTGCATTTTACTAACAAACATCTTTATTCAACTTCAATCCTTGTCATTATCAGAAATTGAGGTTGGTTATCAGGTAACAATTGCAATTCCTACTGCCTACTCCAAAGGTTTTCAGGGCAGAGCTTTTCTGATTGAAGCAGAACAAAAAACCGAGCCGTTTTTCAGGGCAGCGGTCAGCATCGAGGCTGCTGACGAATACGAGAAATATTCGTGCTCGATCGATGTTTTTCTTGGGGATGTTAAGGTTTGGAGTTCGGGACACTTGTCGAGATTCTACGCGGTCAATAAATGTGTGCTTGAGCTGACTGAAAATGGTGACTTGAGGTTGAAGGGTGAGAAGGAATTGATTGGATGGAGGAGTGGAACTTCAGGACAAGGTGTTAAGGTAAGCTAATTTTATTTTATTTTATTTTGTTACTATTTTTTTTTTTTTTTTTGGGGGTAATGTGTGATTAATTATTCTTGACTAAATGTTTATATTGTATTGAATTTTTCTCTAGTGCAGAGGCTACTCTTGCTAAGGACAGGGAACCTAGTTCTAGTCGATGAATTGAGCTCGATAAAATGGCAAAGTTTCAATTTTCCGACCGACGTGATGTTGTGGGGCCAAAGATTAAGTGCTCGAACGTGGCTGACTTCGTTTCCAATGAACTCGACATTGTTCTACTCGCTGGAAATCCAGCATGATAAATTAGTGTTGTATTTGAATTCTGGCAAGTCGAAATACTCTTATTGGGAGTACCGGCCTAACGACGTGCGGGGCATCACGTTCGTAATGTTGTCTTCGAACGGGCTCGGCTTGTTCCACGGGAGCCACAAGTTTGTGGAGATCCGACCGAAAGACCGGGAGCCCGTGAGGTTCATGTCGCTCGACAACCGCACGGGCAATTTGATATTCTACCGGTACTCGGAGGAGAGAAAGAAATTCAAGGCTTGTTATCTAGCGCTCAACTCTACTTGCGACCTCCCCCTGGCGTGCGGGCCCTATGAGGTTTGCTCCTCGTCGGGCTCGTGCTCCTGCATCGGGGTGTTCAATTGCAAGAACGAAAATCTCAAGGGGTTTTGTGGGAAGAAAATAGATGTGGAGATGCTCGAGCTGCGAGGCGTAGTCAGCGTACTGAGGAGCGTTTCGTCTAGGGGTAATATCGGTAGAGACGAATGCGCAAAGTCGTGTTTGAATGATTGTAAATGTTTGGCTGTTGGGTATGATGGTAATTTTGGAGAATGTTTTTTGTATGAAGTTGCTAGAGGGATTAAACAAGTTGAAAAAAGAGGTAAAGTGGTGTATATGGTGAAGTTGCCTAAGGGAGTAGTAGTACATAATGGGCATGGCGAGAATTCTTGGCTAAAGAAATGGGTTATTGTTGTTGTGGGCTTGGTTGATGGGCTTATTATTTTGATTGTATTGGGAGGAATTGGATATTATGTGATTTTAAAAAGGAGAAGGAATTTACTAGGTAGAGGACAAGGTACTTGAGAGATACTAATTTTGAAGAGAGTTTTTCATACAAGGATTGAGTGTGTGTGTGTGTGTGTTTTTTTTTTTTTTAATTAAATGTTGAAGTAAAGATGGTGCAATATGAAAAATTTTGGTTTGTTCAATAATTTTGAGCATTTGGATTATAAGAAAAACAAATTACTTCATTGAGTAATTGGGCTAAGATAAAGTGAATTACTGGGCTACTTCATTCATTAGATTAGTAGTTGGGCTCCATTGATAGGCTGACCCAGAAGATCTTTTTTATAAAAACACAAAACCCATAAAACCAATAAAGTTGGATCAAACTACATCAAATGTCTCTATGATGTAGGATAGCATACTAGGTCGAGTCGATCCGAGTAACAAGTTAACTGGACTAGGGGTAGCATCAAGTCGAGTTACATTATAAGAAAATGATGAAATTCTAACAGAAATATGTTCTAATAGAATTATTCCAATGACAATTCCAACGGATATTTCAATACTATTATTTCCGTTATAAGTTTACAATGATTCTAACGGAAATTCCAAATATTAAGATGGAATGAGTTTTTCATTGGAATTTCCGTTGGATTTTGACGATTCCAACGAGATAGAAATAAAAACTCCAACGGAAATTGCATATTCCAACGGAAAGAAGCCATTGAAAATATAACCGTTGAAGTCATCAAATTTCATCTATATTTCTGCTGAATTTCCGTTGGATCCATTCCGACGGAAGTTATACCATTGAAATATCCGTTGGAATCTCTATTGGAATATATTGCCATAGGATTTTCTGTTGGAATTTAACAATTTCTTGTAGTGTTAATGGCTCTAAAAGGTCCATGAGTATCTCGACCTGAGGATATTATAGGTCGAACCCCTCGACCTGAGGACAGAGCATGAGTACATTGGAGACACCGTCCTACCTCTAGGTAAATTGGATTAGTCATAGGGTTTGATATAGTCTGGGAAAGAAGATTTAGAAATAAGAGAGAATATTATGAGGTTAAGAGCCACACATGGATTGGACCACGTGGCCTAATAGAGTTGAGCAGTTCGTGTTGTTCGGGTAGTACGAATGGACAATTGGGCAGCCCATCCAAACAGTCTTGGGCAACATGGTATTATTTTCCTATATAAGGAAGTGAAACATGTCTAGTATTACATTACATTTTCCACACAGTTACATACTATTCATCGTCTTCTTCATTGTGCTAATGCGTTCTTCATTGAAAAACTCTTTCTGTGTCGAGTATTTGCAGGTTACGAAGGTCATCCACCTGTGAGACAAATAGATCGAGATCGAACTGCGTCGGTCAAGTGTCGTTTCGTACCACTCTCATATTTTTTTTTTTTATTTTTATCAAATTATTAACATAAATATAACACTATTATAAAGGCTGAGTTAATTCAAAAGTTGTAGCCAATTTGTCAATAATGATTAAAATGTCTTGATTTCAAATCCCCCATCGAGTTGGAGTGTTAATTAATTTATCAAATGTGAATGTGATGCGACTATCATCACCCATACAATGCACTAAGCTTGAGTGTGATCTTAATCAGAGTTAATAATTATTATGGAATTTTTTTACCATTAGTGCCTCTAATCAAAAGGTATAGTGATGGTATTCATAAATATTCAAAAAAGTAATCAATTTTTTGACCAGATTATTACATGAATGGTTAGGAATATTAATTATCGGTTTTGCTATGAAGCCAACAACTGGCTCTATAGTGAAGTCAATTTTCTATATATAACAAATAAACCTACCATATTAATAAAATTATATTAGTGTTATTTAAGTCATCAGAAAATATGATAGGTTTACTTGTTGTATATAGAAAGTTGACTCT